GGATGGCTCGCGTTCCCCTCGGGGGGGGGGGGGGGGGGGGTCGGAGGTAGGACTGACGCCAGGAGAGGGTACTTCATCTTAGCACCAGTGCAGAAGGGAGGGTGCACCGTGCTGAGTGCTCAGGACAGCGGAGTTGCCATCTGGACTCCTGGGCTTGGTAACAGAGCCCTGATGATTACAAGAACAGTTGTGCTGGCATGGGGAGGTGGGAACGCATGGAAGCCCAGGAAGAGGGAACACGGAGGCAGAACCACTGGCAGCTTTGGACCTCGTCAGAAAGACCCATAGAAACGGATACAGATCAGGTAGTGGGGTAAGGAGAGACAGGAACACAGACCTGGCTGGGGGCAGAGCTGGCGGACCAGACTGGCGGAGCATCGTGGCACCAGGCAGGCCTGGTAAGGACAGGCCGGCCGGACTCCCTGGCCTCGCCACTCCCTGGCCTCTCCCTGGCTCCTCGCCCTCTCTGCCTCCTCCTCCTCCTGTCTGGAAGTGCTGGCTGCGCCCTGACCACGCACTTGAAAGTGAAGCTGGCTCCCCCTCCCACCGCTGCCCTGCGTTATTTGCTTCTCGTGCAAGACATCACCTTCTCACATTCTGCAGAGTTTATTAATTTTCCTCCGTCACGCCCTCCCTCGCTGCTGTAGACCTTTTACTGTCATTATAAGGGTGTTCATTTTTGCCTGTTTTATTCATTGCCATGGCCAGGCATCTAGAAAAAAAAGTGTCTGCAGTGTAATAATGATTCACTTAACTATTAGTTCAATGGGCCAGCTGATTGGCTTGGTAAACATCAAGTTGAGTGGGCTAGATTTGGTGGGTTTGGGGTTTTTTTTGGTGGCATTAGGGTTTGAACTTGACACTTCTTTTTCTTTAGTTCTTACTTTTGTTATACTCTCCTATTTTGTGCCAGGACCCAGCCTCAGACCACGGTCCTCTTACCAGGGCCTCCCACAGGAACACATCATCATGGTTAGGTTTGGGGATGAAATGCTGGAAATGCCCTGCCTGGTGCAGGAGGGAAAGCAAGCATAGAGGGAATGGTGCTGTGGCTCAGCGTGAGAGAGCACTACCCCTCAGTGCTCAGGAACAGCTCCTTAAGGGAAAGATAATCCCCACGGGGCAGTAAACCACGTACTCAAGCGTCTTCTATCTGTCTAGCCAAACGTATTCCTGGGGATCAGTGTTAGTATATGTATAGTGCAGCCTGTGTGTCGGTAAGCCGCTAGCATTCTTCTGCTGTGTGTATGCTGGCTCTGGGGGTTGAACTTGGGGCCCTATGCTCTTCTTGAGTTTTTGTGCTCAAGGCTTGTGCTCTACTGCTTGAGTCACAGCTCCACTGCGGGCTTTTGGGTGGTTAATTGGAGATAGAATCTCATGAACTTTCTTCCCCAGTCTGGCTTTGTACTGTGGTCTTCAGATCTCAGCCTCCTGAGTAACTAGGATTACAGCTGTGAGCCATCACAGCCATTACAGCCCAGCTGTAATCATTCTTTTATTCTTCTAAGAGCAAAACACTTCCATTGTATGTACATCGGTAGATGTCTGGCTGTTGCTGACAGGATTGCCAGTGATCATTCATGGACTTGTGGTGTGTTACCAAATGACTAATTTCTGTTGGCTTGAATGGCTGAATCAGTAGTTACTCATGCTCAAAGTGCACAATCCCTAAATACTTTGGGGATTTATCTCTTTTTCTGACTTGAACTATTCCACTCGTTTAATAAAAGTGGGTGGATTATATTTGGTAAACACAAAGTTGAAAACCTTTTAGAAAGTCTTATTCCCACAATCTTTTAGTTCAAATTAAGTCCTTTAAAAGGGAGGCTTGGCTCATTCTTCTCGCCAGTAATGCATTACTTTAAACTTCTCGTTTTGCTTTCACCTTATGTTTGAAAAGATGATAATAGTCCATCAAATTAGATCACTCTAATTTGATTTATACTGCTTGTGCTGAGATGTGTTCAAATCTAATTTTCCATTTGATTTAAACTGTCTTATTTCAAATTTTTCATTTGTTATTCACAGCAACATACCAACATGATGCTGCTGGCTTTGATCTCAAGATAGAATTGAATTATTTGATTCTGTACGTTGTAATTGTTTACTTCACACGTAGGTAATGGTGTGTCAGCATTTTTCACGATAGCTGCTGTTTCAGTACACTTCAGTCAGTAGTATTTATTCAATGCACACTGCTTGTCAAGAATCCAGCGGTGGGGCTGGGAAGGTGGCTCAGAGGTAGAGCGCTTGCCTCACATGCATGAGGCCCTGCGTTCAATTCCTCAGCACCACATAAGCAGAAAAAACCAGAAGTGGTTCTGTGGCACAGGTGGTAGAGTGCTAGCCTTGAGCTGAAGAGCGGAGGGACAGCGCCCAGGCCCAGAGTTCAGGCCCATGACCGACAAAAAAAAAAAAAAAAGAAAGAAAAGAAAAGAATCTAGCAGTGTAGCCCAGTGGCAGAGTGACAGCCCTGGCTTCCGTACCTACCACAGAAACATCAGCAAAAACCACTTACCAGTGTCTTTACCAACCATTTGCCAGACTTTTTTTTTTTGGCCAAACAGAGCAATGCACTGTTCTGCCCTCAGAAAGCTGAGCAAGAGCAAGAGCCAGGAGAGGTGGGGTGACTGGAGGGGGGCGCTACAACTTAGCCTCACTCGGCGCCAGCAATTTGGGATCTTCATATCTTTTGAGTTAGCTTTTACAAAACAACATCACTCATTCCCGTCCCTGTCTTGTAGAAGGGGAAACAGAGTCCCGAGGGGAGGATTTGCTTGAGATCATCAAGCCAGTTACGCAGCGGGGTGGTGGTGCTGGCTGGGAGGTGCTCAGCTCCACATGCCTTGCTGCTTTAGGAAACCTCTCTGCCGCGCATGCTGCAGGTGTCTCTCTTCCCAGAATTCTTGATCGTGAGAGCAGCTCAGGTTCTGAACAGCCACAACTTCTTTTTTGCCTACTCATCTTAGACGTTTTGGTGAAGAACATTTTATGTAATCAAAATGGTTAGACAACATCTCTGGGTTCATTTATCACTTCTTAATTTTGATCCGTAAGAGAATCTCATCTGAAAGTCTCAGACCTGGCATCGTTAGTATGATTCATTACCTTAAGTTGGCACCCAAGGAAGACTCTGTTACTCTGTATAAGCTCTTTGAGAGGTTTCTCTAGTGACCATTCGAATAGAAAACTGGTGGAAGATTTTTTAAGTCAAGCTGCTTGATCTTTTTGATTTATTTATTTATTTTTTGGGTCCAGTTGTGGGGCCTGAACTCTGGGTCTGGGTGCTGTCCCGCAGCTCTTCAGCTCAAGGTTAGCACTCTACCACTTGAGCCACAGCGCCACTTCTGGCTTTTTTCTTTTTTCTTTATGTGGTGCTGAGGAATCGAACCCAGGGCCTCAGGCATGCAAGGCAAGCGCTCTACCACTGAACCACCTTCCCAGCCCCAAGCTGCTTGATCTTAATTGAGTGAAAAATGTGGATTGCTAGGATTAAAAAGTACCATAAGATTTAATTATTTTAAGCTTTTATGAATAAATTTTCAGTTCTATCCTGCAAAAAAAAAATCTTTGCTGTTATCTCCTGCATTCACCTTCATCATCATGCGTCAATTCTAGTTGCCAACAACATTAAAACTAAACAAGGGCCAGTAACACATAAATATTTTAAATATGGCAGGGATAGTAATATATAAATATTTTAAATTATGACAGGGCAACAGTGGCTTGTGCCTATAATCCTAGCTACTCAGGAGGTTAAGATCTGAAGATTATGGTTCAAAGCCAGCTTTGGTAGGAAAACCTGAGAGACTCTTTAACCATCAAAAAGCCAGAAGTGGAGCTGTGGCTTAAATGGTAGAGTGCCAGCCTTGAACCAAAAGAAGCTCAGGGACAGTGCCCAGGCCTTGGTTGCAAGCCCCAGGACCAGCACAAAAATAAATAATAATAAATAATAAATCATTGGTGCTGGGTGCTAGTAGCTCATATCTGTAATACAAGCTACTGGAGAGGCTGAGAGTGTTGGAATTGTTTTGTGGCCAGCTTGGTCAGAAAAAGTTGAAAAGACTTCATCTCAATGAAGAGCTGGGCAGGCAGAGCGTGATTCTCGCTGCCAGGATCACCCAGGTAGGTGATCCTTATTTGAAAAATAAGTAACAAGAATCTAGACTGTCCTCTCAGGAAGCATGAGGCCCAGAGTTCAAACTGCAGAAATGCCAAAAAAACAAATCCAGAATCATGATTGATTTCCCTTGGGGTTGGAAATCCTAACGGTGGTATTTTTCAGATGCGTTATAGATGGCAGCGTGTGGGACATGGGATATGTTGGAGGAGGGGCGGGCGCCTCCGGGCTCTGTCTGGAGATGGAGTTCCACATCCTTAGGACAGCTTCTCTTCCTCACTCCCCTCTCTTTTGTAGGTTCCCTGGAAGAACTTACTTTCCACCACCCTCTCCGCGTCCAGGCCACGTGTCTTTGCTTCCCTCCATTCAATGGAAATTTTTGCTTATTCCAGAATTTGAAAAGTTGTGTTTATTTTATAGTTAACTGGCTAGAATTACCTGGTGCCCTTAGGACAGCCTACTAGTACGTGTTATTTCACTGGAGGTAAATGTTGGTCTCCTGAGTAGCGGTGGCTGACAGTCGTGGATACTTCCAGAGAGGGGCGCTGTGGCAAGAACAGTCTTCGGCCACGCCCTGAGGCCTCCCGAGCCAGGCTCCCCGCCTCCTCCCCCCTGCCTGGCGGCGGCAGCACTTCAGGCTGACTGTTCGCAGTCTGTGCCCTTAGCCGCCTGCCCCGGCAGCCAGGCCCTTGCCTGTGCCCAGGTGGCCAAGCATCTGTCCTTTGTACTGCCAGAGAATCTTCCTGTATAAACCCACATGTGGATGCACCACAGCATGCAAAAGCAGATGAAAACATCTGCTGTGCATATTTTGATGGAAGTAAAAATTTTAATACTTTAGAACATGAAAAATTAACATTTACTACTTTTTCATTTTCAGTTTATCGATGGTCGGCTGGCAAAACTAAATGCAGGAAAGGGTTTCTCTGATGTATTTGAAGAAGAGATCACTTCAGGTGGTTTTTGTGGAGGTAAAGACTGTTTTACAGTACGCTCTCCATTTTCTAAATAACATCTTGATCTTATACTTGTGTTTGATTGTGTATTTCACCAACAGCTACTTCTTATCTGTCTCCTAGCTAGACACTAAGTGCATATCACTTTGCATGATTTCTGTTATGAAGGCAGTGTGAAGGTCTCATGAATTTGTGTCTGCTCAATTAATCTCTTCATTTTATTGGAAATAAATAGCACAGAAGACTAGTTGATTTGAAGCCATTAGCCTTTCCTCCTGAACTACAGCACCTGCTATATGGCTATGATGTCTATGACTATGTTTTTTTTTTAAAAAAATGAGGTTATGACAGAAATAGAACATTGTAATATAATCAGAAAGGAAATCTAAAAGGAAATATTTGAACAGCACAATTCATACCTATTAGGGTATTATTAATCCAGAAATCATTACCTGTTTATCTTTGTAAACTACTGCAGCCTTAGGAAAGTTTTATCTGCCACTCTATACATATAATCACTCCTTCAAATGTAAATATTTAGTGTTATAATCATGTCAGTAATTGATGATTTATGACTTGACACTTGTTTCTCAATTCTAGTGGGTGGTCCTGGCTTGCAGAAATTTGTTTTGCCTAAGTCTTGAAATGTCCTGTTGGTTCATTTGTTTACTTATTCATTCACTCAGCCAGTGCTGAATGCTCAGTATTCTCGGTGCTGGTATCTCAGTGAACATCTTCCATCTTCCTGCGTTCATTTTGAATTGGAACAATAGTACTGCTATTTTCCTGTTTGGTGTGTATTTGTTTTGAGAGCAGTTCTTAAATCTCTATGCGTGCATTTGCTAGATTTGAAATACAGTACAGGAGAAGGGAGTTAGCAGCTGTACAGTCTCCACTTTTAAGTTTTCTTTTGGAGCAGTGCTTTAGTTTCCACACCATAAAAACAGAAGGCATTAGAGAGGGGTGATTTTTCTCGTGAAAAGGGCGAGCTTGGCGGGTGTAGACTCACGGTGCAGGTGCGCTGTGACCTGCTGGGTCGCGTGGCTTTTCACGGACAGCACCAGGTGTGGCCAGCCCTCAGCGTCTCCACCTCAGCCCGAGAGACACCCACGGAGGCCCAGCTACTCGCTGTCCTCAGCTCTTTGGTTAAAAAAAATAGCTTCAATGGGATTCTGGTGTTAAAATAATGCTTCTTTACTTCTTAACTCAGACAAGCAAAATATTGTCAGCTTATGGACAAATGGCTTGGGGCCTAAATTCAGCATTTACATAACTGCTGTCTCATTATCTTTATGACCCGTGGGGCAGGTAGCTTTTGTAGAATTGAAGATGACATCTTGTGACAGTAATAGGGTAGAACTATGATCTTTTTGTACAGTTAAACTCTCTCACGGTAACCATTGGTCCACATACCTCTGTAATAGAGGTAGATGACTTTTCGAGTATCGAAGAGGGTAATAGACTTTTTCTAACTAAAGATCTATTATTTTAAAAAAGAGTAGGGGACATGATCATTGAGTATTGTCTGATGGCTGCTTTTAGTAAAAATAGTCCCCATTGCTTGGTTGTTCTTTATTATAGTGAAAGGGCTCATCCATTTTAACTTATGGGAGCAAATGTTTATGCAAAAGAAATGCCTAGTTAAACATCTTTTAGTTTCAGTGAATAAAAGAGTTCCTTAAAAATGTGTTAAAGTGTTATTTTTAGCTGTATTTTAGATTATGTTAGTGATAAATAGAAACTATTCTTAGAACAAAATAAAGCATAAGTTATTAGACTTTGAAATAAGCAAAATGAACAATCTTAATAAAATTTTGTAATGCTTTTCTAACAGCTAATTAATTAGGAGAGAGAGAGAGAGTGTGTGTGTGTGTGTGTGTGTGTGTGTGTGTGCGTGCGCGCTTCAAAAATAGTTTCTAGGGCTGGGAAGGTGGCTCAGTGGTAGAGCGCTTGCCTTGCATGCATGAGGCCCTGGGTTAGATTCCTCAGCACCACATAAACAGAAAAAGCCAGAAGTGGTGCTGTGGCTCAAATGGTAGAGCGCTAGCCTTGAGCTGAAGAGCTGAGGGACAGCGCCCAGGCCCAGAGTTCAGGCCCCACAACCGAAAAAAAAAAAATAGTTTCTAGAAATGTACTCCTCACGTGTAGGAGAAAAAAGAATATAGCAATGTCATGAATGTTACCTGTTCTTCCACAAAGTGAAAACTTCTGACCTCGTCACTTTTCTGGGAGTAATGCTAATAATTGCTGATACTAGCTGTTATGAATATGGGACAGAACCTCTCCTAGAGGAATGACAAGTAGTGTTATCTCATGTGATCACACTGGTAGTATTGATTTGAACTCAGGACGTGATACTTGCTAGGCAGGTGCTCTACTGCCGAGCCACAGCTCAGCCTTGTCCCTCCCACAGTCCTGTGGCAAGTACAGAGAATGGGTTGCATGTATTCCTGCCTTCATTTACCTGCTCAATAACCGTAGTATATTAATTCTTTATGAGAAGTCTTAGCAAACACTGTAGTAAGCCAGCATGGCACTCAGACTTTTGGCTGAATCAAAGCAAAATTCTGTCTTGAATATCTATGAAAGACATGTTTACACACAGAGGCCCGGAATGATCCCTGGGCTAGGAGAAATTAACTCAAACTGGAAAAACAAAAAGAAAGTTCCTTGAGGCAAAAGTAATTTTGACATTTCAAGGAAGTGTCTGTTTTCTCCCTTTATCTCTCCCGACATTGCAATGGTAGTTCATAGGCTCTGTTCATGTTAGCATCACATTAATACGAGGGCTTTCTGTTCCTGGATCGAATCAGAGCACACGGTAAAGCATCATCACCCACGTCTAGGTTGTGGAGATACACAGTTGGATCTGGAGGCACGGGGAAGGCATCTGTAAATGAGTGGGGATTTTCTCGACCTTTTTCTGCCCCATGAATCTCCGTGGTCAGAACCGTTAAGGAAATTGTATGGCCTCCCTACGTCCCTGGCTCCCCTCAGGAGATTCTTGCAGAATCTTAAATCTACCAAGCGGTGGGGAAAGAGAAGCACATGCCTGTTGTGGTTGCAAAGCGACGAAGGAGGACAAGAAGCAGAACAAGAACCCAATTAGGGGAAGCTGCTAAGAACAGGCACAGAGAAGAACACGGCTTTTTTTTTTTTTTTTAGCCAAAATAAAGCTAGTTGTTAAACCCACAGCAGAAGCTCTCAATAAAGGCGGATACAGACTGATTGTTGGAGTGTGTAGATTCTCCCCATTGGTTTCATGTCTTCATGGCTTCTTGACGTCAGCTGTTAACGACTGTTATTTACTTTTGTTTCTTTCTATTGACTGAAGAATGGGAGAATTTGAGGAGGCAATAGCTGTTTATCAGCTCCAGTGGAATTCGTTTTGGTCCACGTTGAACACTTAAGAGCAATTTACATATTTTGATAAGTGACCACAAATTATGGGAACTTAAATATATTTAAAAAAAACATTTGAAGGGTCTTTGTACGAGTGAAAATTGAAGGAATTCTGTCCTTGAGCATGACAGCACCAGTTGTTTAACAAGAATAATGTTAGGAAATTCCTCAGTAATGCTAATTAGTTGCCATAAACCAGTTAATTTAAAAAGAAAAACTGAGAGGTTTTTTTTTTGTTGGCATTCAAAACTAATTTTTTAAAAGATTAGTTTTAGTTTTTAGCATTACTGAAAGATTGTGTGCTTGTCTCATAAATTTTGTAGAAATAAGAACCATAAATCCTGAAAACATTAAAATTTAAAGAACCAGTGAGCCTTTTCATTTTAGAAACAGAAGTCTACTTAATTTTGTTGCATCTCCACATCATCTGTGTGTGTGGGGTGTGTGTGTGTGTGTGTGTGTGTGTGTGTGTGTGTGTGTGTACATACATGTGTGTGCACCCGTGTGAATGCTGTACTGGGGCTTGAACTCAGGACTTGGCATTCTCACTTGGATTTCTCTCTCAAGACTGATGCTCTACCACTTGAACCACACCTCCACCTCTGGCTTTTTAGTGGTTAATTGGAGATAAAGTTCTTATGGACTTTTCTGTCCCAGCTGTTTTCAAACTAAGATCCTCGGATCTCAGCCTCCTGAGTAGCTAAGATTAAAGATATGAGCCATTGGTACCTGGCCACTCAATCATTTTTAACATAGAAGTAAAAGGTATATAAGCTGATGGAATAAAATAAAGCATCTAAGCAATTTGAATAAATGAAGATATATAATACATATATCATCTATATTTTCATCATAGTTAAGAAAAACTCCTTGAGAAATAAATTGATAATTTCAAATTTGTCATCATTCTTCAACATACATTAAGTAATATGTCTTAAGTCAATGTCATATGAAATACATGCCTTTTCAACAAGCAATTTATTTAACATACCTCATATAAATAAGTTATTTTAAGTAAATAACAGATTGCTTTGTGAGGATGTGAAAAACAATGCTAGTCTCTGTAGTTTTCTCCAAGAAAAAAAAAGCCCAGTGGCAGTGCTGAATGCTAAGAGATATGAGAATCAAAGCTGCTTCTTCAGGTCTCTTAAGTTAGGGAAAGATTTTAAGTATAAAAATGAATATGATGGGGCTGGGCAGGTGGCTCAGTGGTAGAGTGCTTGCCTGGCATGTATGAAGCCCTGAGTTCGATTCCTCAGCACCACATAAACAGAAAAGGCCAGAAGTGGCACTGTGGCTCAAGTGGTAGAGTGCTAGTCTTGAGCAAAAGAAGCTCAGGGACAGTGCCCAGGCCCTGAGTTCAAGCTCCAGGACTGGCAAAAAATAAATAAATAAAATGAATATGGCACTGGGACACTCTGCCTGATTTCGACCAAAGATGTAATAATAACAACTAGAATTGTTGGACTGGGGTCATTCTACCTCTCTTACTTGGTAGCAGTAAGGAAATAACTTTTAAAAAGCTACAGCCACAGGAAGGAACATTTATTTTTAACCGAGACTCTATCTTTTACTGTGACTTTTCATGCTTATAATGTAGGAAGTGTTTAAGCATTTAAACACTCAGTGTGGTAGTTGAAATCCAACTGAAATAGCTGGATAAAAAGATTACTTTCAATTATTTCTGTGTGGTTCCTCATCTTTTTGATGAAGACATTTCTCTGACTTGGACACATGTTGATCACCAGAGTTTACGAGAGCTGGTTTTGTGGGCATTTGAGCTTTCTGGTAAGCATGGTGCTCTGATTCACATTTATGGTTTCATAACTAGAATATGTTTTCAGAAACGTTTATTTCATTGAAATAAAATCACTTGTGCACGTGAGACCCCTACAAAATAATGTTTTGTTGTCGATAGTCCTTTGCATTTCCAAATTTCCCTCTACTTCTGTATTTCTCAGTGCAATAGAAATACTGTTTTAAATGAACTTTATTGCCGAAAGAGGCATTTAAAAAAAACATAGAAATAAAATGTGGAAAATTTACTTTAAGTTTCAAAAGCAAGATTATCTAATTTTTTCTCAAAACTTAATGTTACCATGAAGGTTTATAAAGCCCACACCTGAAATCTAGCTACTCAGGGAGCTGAGATCCAGCAGCCCACAGTTCAAGGCCAGCCCCAGGCAGCTAAGTTCATGAGTTTCCATCTCCAATTAGCCAGCAAAAAGCAGGGTTGGAGGTATGGCTCAAGTGGTAGTGTGCCAGCCGAGTGAATGCAAGGGCCTGTATTCGAGCCTTAGGCCTGGGGTTGGGGGACAAAAAAAACCCCTTAGAATCAATCTAGTTTCATCTATGAATGAAGGAAAAGTGATTGAATGATTTAAATGGTGTCAGTTGTTCTGTTACTAAGAATCAGAGCAGTTTATTAATTCTTACAAATGTGATCGTGTCTTCTGAGACACTGTGAATAAAAACGCCGGGAATACTATGGCTTGACCTTTGGTGCTGAGATTTGCTTTTGACCAAGTACTTTTCATATCTTGCAGGGAACCCAAGGTCATACCAGCAGTGGGTGCACACTGTCAAGGTAAGCACGGCCCTCCCACGGTTCTCCCGCCGTGCAGAGCCAAGTTCAGCGAGTGCTCGCCTGAGGCTTCCGCTCACGTTTCTATTTCTGGTAGCCAAAGTGCAGTGTGATTGTTGACAATCATCAACATGACCTTAAGATGGAAAGCTTTGTTCAAAGATAAATGGCTTTTTTTAAAAAAAGGGAAAAAATACCAAGATTTCTCTGCCACTTTATATCATTTTCCACAACCAGGAATTAAATAGAGTGGTTGGTTTTGATGGGGTTTTTATAATTCCCAATAGTAGGATTTTTGTCAAAGGGATTGGCTATAAAACTTTTTCTACAGATTGAGAACGGATTGTCCATTATTAAAACAACTAGTAAACGTCGCATTTCCATTTTATTAACTTTTATGTATGTAGATATCACTTTCCACGTTGGTCTTCTGCCTACATTTAAAAATGAGATGATTTTTAAATGATGGATTACACCAACTTGAGAACAGAACCAGGGGACTTAGATTTTGGTTTAACTTATTAAAGCATTTGAAGACCTGTAACATTAAACACGTGGGTCGTTAGCTAGAGAGAGAAGTTCTGTTTCTGTACACCAGCTGTCTTATTGTCAGGACCATTTGTCCGAAAGCATTTGGAAATTGTCTGTCTTTCCCTTGGCAGAAAGGGAGTGCTTTCTTCAACACGGCCGTGACTAGAGCGACCCCTGCTGTACGAACAGCATACAAATTTGTAAGTGTTACATTTTCTGTTAAGAAAGCTCTAAAGCAGCTTAGAGTTCTTGTTGAGTAAGGAAGATTGGTTATTAAAATTCTTTCATTTATGGAAAATGTATTTCTTTTATATAATATGGAAGTGGCTCTTCATTCCATTTCACAGCAACTAGCAAAATGGCATAGTACATTCTGGAAACGTCCATGATGAGGTATCATTGTGTGAGTCTGACTGTTTCGTATAACAATGTATTTTGATTTCTCCTTATATACTTGAGGCTACAGCAAAATGAAGCAGAAAAATATGATCATCTCTTTGCTCAAAGAGGCCTTGATAGTCACATAAATTAGTGTTAAAAGTATATCAATGACAGTCATAAACAATGAAAAATGTGAAGGAAAAGTCACTTCAATATGAAAATTAAGACTCTTCAAGTCTTGGTTGTTTATTGGTGAGTTTCAGCTGGTAAAGTGTATTCCATCTTCCAGGTAACCTGAAATGGATCTAGGGAGGAGGAAGAGCAGTAGATATTTCAAGTAATGATGCAAATTGTAGAGCCAAGGGAGGGAGGAGTATCTGAGGAGATTGGATGCAGTAGGGGACGTTTGCCTCAACTGCGCTTGGGGTCACACGTGGGCAAGGCCCAGAGGAGCGGGAGGGCAAAGCACTGTTCCTTGGTCATTATTTATTTTTGCCTAGTGGAAATGAAAGGGTTAATACAGGGCCCTTTACATAGATTAGGAGACTTGACAAATAGGATACTGATGGGGAAGGTGATTTATCTAGTCTAAAGAACCATAGACTATGTTCTAGTGTGCGCTGGCTTTTTAGATGGGAATTTGATTTGGAATAAGATCCCTCTGGGGTCCGTGCATGTGCCCCTCTGGGAAGCACTTAGGGCAGGCAGGCGTCACTGGGAGCGTGGCTCTGAGTGGGCGCTGTGGGTGCCGCCGGTATCGATGCACACGCCAGGCCCCTTGGAGAAAGAACAGCATCGGACTTGACAATTCAACAGACCCAGATTTGAGTCCAGGCTGGGTGGACTTACTCTCCCTGCACCAATTTCCTTACCTGTCAGACAGGGTGCCAGTAGTCTCTTGGACTCTTGGAGTCGCTGTGACCACAGAGACTGCATACTAGGCACCCAGCACACAGTCATTGCTCAAAAAATCTATTTATGAAACATCCACACCCTGGAGATGGCTCTGCTGATCCACATAGCCATCTACCTGAGGCGGGGGGGGGGGGGAGCTCAGTAGCAAAGCTCTGCAGAGCTGTGTTGTCTGGGCTTCTGGAAGCCTGCACCTCTGCCCTGCAGCTGTGATGCTGGGTGATGCCTCTCCCACTCTGGTTGCGTTGGTCTGCTGCTTCAGTCCTTCCTGGGCGGTGGAGCTTAGGATGCAGAAAGGGCTACGTGTCGGCTGGCAACGACGTTTGTAAAGTACACAAGGACAACGCATGTGTCCAATAGTTAAATTCACTATGGTGTAATAGTAAATGGACGGTACCTGAGGGGTATTATTTTATTGTATTTGTTTATTTTATTTTTTTTTTTTTTGGTGCTGGTACTGGGGCTTGAACACAGGCCTGCGTTCTGCCCCTCAGCTTTTTTGGCTCAAGATTGGTGCTCTGCCACTTGAATCACACATACATTTCTGGCTCTCTCTCTCTTTGCTTTTGCTTTCTCTTTCTCTCTCTACTTTCTCTTTCTCTGCTTTCTCTTTCTTTTTCTTTCTTTCTTTCTTTCTTGCTTGCTTGCTTGCTTGCTTGCTTGCTTGCTTTCTTCCTCCCTCCTCCTCCTCCTCTCCTCCTTCAATAATTAATTGGAGATCAGAGTCTCACAGACTTTCCTGCCTGGGCTGGCTTCCAAGCTCAATCCTCTCATGTCACCCTCCTGAGTGGCTGGGATTATAGGTCTGAGCCACCTGTGTTCAGCCTGGTACCTCTGAGTTTGGAGATTTCCATGATAATGTTGCTTCTCTAAATAATGTGAATAGTTGGCCATTTCATCTTGTATCTTGTTCTGTAAAAGGCAATAGATTCATATTGAGTCCGACACATTTATCATCATTTTCTAGGCAAAAAATCATGCAAAACTGGGATTAAAAGAAGTGAAGAGCAAGCTCAAACACAAGGTGTGTCATGTTCTCCTTTTTACCTTGATTCTTGTGTTAGTTTGAAGCTTATACTTTATAAATCACATAGGATTAATGTTTTAATGGCTCTTGAAATATGCTTGCCCCTTTGTTCAAGAATGTATTTTTCATAACAAGCCCTCTGGCAAGAGCCTGCCATTCCCCATGCATCCATGGGGTAACCTCCTCACTGAATGCATATTTTATCACAGAGCTCTGGAGCTCTTCAAAGATGCTTTAAGAGGATGTATGTTTTCATAAAGCTGATTGCCTTGAAATCACAATTGAAGTTCTTGCTTCAAGCTGAGAATTGTTTAAAAGAGATACCTTTGGCAGAAAATTAATCTAGAAATGCTATGATTTAGTTTTATAGGCTCTTTCTAACAGTAGTTACTTTAAATTAATGTTATTAATTTACAATAGATCATGTTTGATAATTTGTATATAAATCTATGACTACCACAGGTGAATGAGTAGGTGTGTGTGTGTGTGTGTGTGTGTGTGTGTGTGTGTGTATGTGTGTGTATGGGTCTGTATATATGAGTCTGGCTTGCTTTTATTTCTCTGCCAATTTTATTATCAATTGTTATATTTTGAATCTTTGGTGAAAACTCAAAAAAATTCTTCCATTGGATGATGGAAAATAAATTATCTTGAAGTAAATTTTAAAGTATTCAAAATAACCATATTATTTAGGACATTTTTAGTTTCTATAGTAGAAAATGTACTTTGTTTTTAAATACATTCTTTTAACGTAAAGGTCTAAATAACTTATAATAGTATTTTGCTATCTGCATATTGATCAGGCATTTTGTTACTAAGTAACTTTGGCAGTGGAAGGGACATTCGAAAGTCATTACGCATCCATTTTTCTGTGTGTAGGAGAATGAGGAGGAGTATGGGAGCTGTTCTGGTCTGGTACAGTATACACCGGTGTACACATCACACAATGAAAAGGAAGGAGCCCCAGAGAAGCGTAAACTTGCACAGGTAAGGTCATTAACCTGAAGCCTCCACGTTCTGAAATTGTGTAACCTAGCTGAGTTCTTTAGGAACAATTATGGACCCGTCGGCTTTTGAATCTATGATGAAGGAAAGCGTGGGTGGAATCTGGTCAGGTGACTGCGAATGGAATGTTCAAATGTCATCTGCACAAGCGTGTGGAGCGTTCCCAATCTAAGAACTCCACATTCAAAACTTCCTGTGAACCATCATGATGCCAGACAGGCAAGTCCCACGTCCGACCTGGTGCACGGGGTCATGTTCACAGCGCAGGTGTAATATAACATTGTGACAGTAATACTGATACAGTTACCTTCGGTCATTGTGTCTTAAGGAACATCTGTGAATTTTGTCCTTTGTCCTTATCCCCCAAATACCTCAGAATGTTTGTACAAATAGTTTAAACTCCAAAAAGAATCCCAAATCTGGAACTGGGAGCCAGTGACTCATGCCTGTCATCCTCGCTACTCAGGAGGGTGAGATTTGAGGATCACAGTTCAAAGCCAGCCTGGGCAGGAAAGTCCATGAGATTCTTATCTCCAATGAACCACCCAGAAAAGCTGGAAGTAGCGCTATGGTTTAAAGTGGTAGAGCACTAGCCTGAGCAAAAAAGCTCAGGGAGAGTATCTAGGCCCTGAGTTCAAGCCCCAGGACTGGCACCAAAAAAAGAAAAAGAAAATCCCAAATTGGAACCATTTCAGCTCCCAGCCCTTCGCATCAGTAGTGCCGGGAGGCGAGAGGGACGGAGACACGCAGACAGAGTGGTTGTGACTCCCTAGAAGCCACAGGTTTCCTTTGCTTCGAAAACACGGGGAAAATCACGCAAGGACTTGTGGTCCTTAAACCTGTCCGTGGAAGCTGAACAGTGCTCCTTCCCCCTCAGCGCTGCTCTGTCCCCGCCAGCCCGTGACCCGTGGACGTAGTGTATGGGACAGTGACAGCTCTCAGAGCACCCTGGCCTAGCCACACACAGTCCTTCACCCTGTGGCTGAGCCCCAACATTCAACCCTTACAGTACGGTTCCCCCTGAAAGAGCGTTATTTGCTCACTGTTGTAAACTCAAAAAAGCCATGAAGTCTAACCTTCAGTCGTCAGGGACCAGGTCTCTCTTCAGAGTTGGAAATCAGATTTGCTGCAAATACTTTAGCCCTCTGAAAGCTTTTCAGGAGGAGCTGTTTGGCTGATACACGTGGGTTGATAAGGCCCCTCATTTGCGTCTACAGCGCTTTCCAGCCACTTCTGTGAACACGAGATTTTTTTTTTCTTGTTAACTGATGATGGCTTTGCTGTCGACTGTCCTGGCTTTTCTCACATTACTTTATATGTGTTCAGTTCCTGGCTGGGAGTTCTCAAGCCTGAATATCTTACACATCACGGAGTGTTTACTGCCTTCCGAATGGATCATTTGGATTATAGTTGCCATGGTGAACAGGTTTTTATATTTTTTAAAAAAACTATGATAATCTTGCTGTACTTGGAGGATGTTTTGACGTGAAAACATTTATAATACAGGTATTTCTTTTGTAAACATCAACTTTCAATTAAGAACACTCCTGTCAACTCATACTTTAAACTTGAAATTTCCCTTTTCTTTAACATAACATTCATATAACTCAACTATAAAAGAAATGACTACTTTCATTTTGCTTTCTGTTCATTCTCTACCACTTGAGCCACACCTCCAGTCTAGCATTTTACTTGCAGACTTTTGTGCCTAGGCCAGCTTTGATCTACAAGCCTCCAGATCTCAGCCTCCTGAATAGCAGGATTATAGGCATATATATACTATATATATATATATATATATATATATACACACACACACACACTAATATATAGGCATATACATTCATCATATATACTGTATGTGTACAGCGTGATGTCTTGCTATACATAATGCAGTTACTACACTCAAACAAACTAGCAAATCTGTCTCCTTCACAGGTAACCGTATGTAAAGAGTAACACCTGCTCTTGAAGTCAAGTCCCAGCACACAGCACACGATTATTAACCATACCTTTCATGCTGATTTAGGAAACTGCATTGGGTTGTTAGGAAAATCCCTCCAGGGTAGCAGGGTGCCTTCAGTGTGTACTTTCAGACTGCTCAGGCTGTGGTTTGGTCTCCTGTCATGAACTCAGCTAGCCGCATTCATTCTTCAGCACTTCGTGGTCTTCAGACGGACTGGCAGAGATGATAAGGAGCGGGTGGGGAGAGGCAGGGCTCGTTCTTTCATGACTTTGCCCTTATTTGAGATTTTGCGAAGCTCACATCTTTAGGGTTACAATATAGATGTTAATAGCGTGCCAGTAAAGTTCTTGAAGCAACATTCTGAGTCAGGAATTGTGTCCACCAGTGTGTATCCCATTGTATCGGTAGCTGTGTTTACCCATGTGTATCTATTTTACAGCTAAATGGAGGTCATTTATCAACCAATTATATCTTTGGCTGTCTGACAATTATTTTCTACTTTTCACCCTTAATATTTTCCCTCAAGGCTCTCAGAATTCTTATATTGATCTTATATTGCTCTGAATTGATAACCTATAGCAGATGGCAGCTTATTTATTTAAAAAAAAACAATGCGGCATATTGAAAGTGAGAGTGTTGTCTAACCTTTACTTGAAGTTTTATTCAATTCCGTCGCATTAGAAGCTCACCCGAGCCATGTAAGACCACACCAGGACGCTCAGTGTAAGCACCAGGCATCTGGGAGCGGGAATTGGGACAGGGCTGGAGCCGGAAACGAAGCCACCTTCAGGGAGTGTCAGCCTCCTCACTTGCTTTCCTTCCACCCTCCCTCCGCCCGCCTCTCCCCTCTGCCCACCTGGCCACGCGGTTTGTTCGTCATAGACTGGCCTTTTGCATCTTTGTACACCTGACATAAGTCTTTCAGGCCATCAGATGAAGCAGCTACTAGAAATGGTCAGGAATTCTGGAATCAAATTTCGTGTGAAGGAATGCACTCACTTCACTTAGACCAGTCGTGAACCCCTCGTTCAATGCACTCCAACCCAGAGACATAGAGGACCATGTTGCTAGGGATGCTGGGAGGGCAGAAGGCTTACTTGGGTTGTCAGGGAACGCAGGTCTTGGAGAAAGGATTTCAAGGACTGACAGTATCTCATAAGGTAGCCACCGTTTGTGATTGCTTTTGTAATGCTGTGCATACCAGAAAGTCATCTTGAAGAAAACATCTAGACAAGCCAAAAAAAAATCTATTTTTATATTATAGAGCCTGGATGGTTCTGTCAAAAATCTGAACTTTGATAAGTTTGATCAAGCCAGTCCGTTTGACTGAGGAAGGAATTTGAGCAAGCACAATGGGCTACCAGTGGAGAGAACGTTAGACTAGACTCTGCATGGTGGTCAAGGAAATCAAGAGCGGTGAGCCATAGTCTCGTTCTCATCTTCACAGCCTTCCATTGCAGAAGCTTCGCTATTTCTCCCTCATAGATAACCCGTTGATCTAATCCAGATAGGGCCCAGTGGAAGCCGATGTGAGACTCTGCATGTATTATTTCATGGCCGTCTCTCTTCCAATGAGTTCTCTTATCCCTCACCCTTCATCTGCAATAACGCTAGGATCCCTGATGTTATGATTTTCAATTAAATATGTATTTCAAAGAAAGTTAAATGTGGTTGAAGACAGACTAGGGAATCCGTATGTTTTTATGTATTCATATTCCATCTGTTTCTAACTTGATATGAATAATCATAGATTAATAAAATTTAACAAAATATATTTAACGTAGATAAGGTACAAACGGTTCATGCCTGCCTTGCTCAGCAGCCGCAGTGAAAAGTGCATGATGGGTAATGCACGGGCTTCTTTTAGAAGTCGTTCTGGAGTTGTAGGAAGGAGAAGGATGAATCGGGTGTCTGCGAGCTGAGAGCTCAGGGCTGGGGGAGGTGGAGACGCTTCCTGACTGGTGCAGTTTGTATCATTTGAGAGGCTCGCAGACTTTTCCCAGAGACAGCCTACATTCTGAGTCCCTGACTGGCAGTTGAATCCTTTCTTCTTCTTTTTTAATGTACATTTAAAGCACACTTTTAGCTTCCTTCCATGAAGCACACTGAAGTAGAAGACAGCCCTTTCCTGGCTGATGATTATATTTGATTATATTTGAATCTTTTCGGTTAATGGTTAATGGTAGATTTCTTGCATTCTAATTTTACCAGTAAGATCCCTACAGGTCTACATTCTTAAATTTTTAATGTTGTAACAGAACATGCCACCCCCTTTTCCCCCCTATTCAAGCATAATACAATCCAATTTTCCTTCTTTCATTAAAAAAATTATTATTATAAAGGTATTATACAGAGGGGTTATATAACTTCCTTCATTTTTTCCTTAACCTAAGAAGTTGACTCTTAACGGCCTTTCACTTTAAACAGTATTTTGTCTCTTTATTCAAGATTTGAAACTTCAAATAATAAAATTACCTTAAAGGATTTGGCACATGCTGGGCACTAATGGCTCTCATCTATAATCCTAGCTACTCAGGAGTCAGATCTGAGGATCAAGGTTCAAAGCCAGACCAGGCAGGAAAGTCCACGAGATCCATATCTCCAGTTAACCACCAAAAAGTCATAAATGAACATGTGGCTGAAGTGGTAGAGTGCCAGCCTTGAGCAAAAAAGCTCTGAGACAGTGCTCAGGCTGGACTGCTCACCCAGGCCCTGAGTTCAAGTCCCAGGACCAGAGGGGGAGGGGGGGGAAAGGGATCTAACAGGTGGTAAATTTAATGACTTAAAAGCCAGATTCTGTAGGGACCTGCTGGATTTGGTGATTCAGATAATTTTCCTGCTCTTATCTCTGATGTGAAGCCTCAATTTTGGGAGGGTTGAAAGCAGATGAAGGTACAGACAGAAGCCTGGGTTCGCGGGCAGCCAGCCAGCTCCTTCATGCCATGCGCCGTCCTTGTCTGTCTGGGAGATTAACTGCATGATTCAGTGTCAAAGCCCTGCAGTCCAGATGTAGAAG